CCTGAAGAAAGTCCCCTAAGATGATAGATACTCTCGTCTGCTCCAATTGCCGTAGCAACACTACCATAAGTAAGATCATCATCCTCATATACTAGTTCATCATCTTGATCTTCGGGGCATCTAACTAACCATTCATTTGAATCATCTATGTTATCCAAGCGAATTGGGTCAATAAGATCACGAGCATCATAACGACGTTTCAATGCTCTATTGTACTTAATGTACACTAGATCATTGAGACGCGATAGTGTAAGCCTATTCCTCTTTTTGGAATGAATCTGTGCATAAGTTATTGATATTAACTAGTTGATATTGATAATAATATAATATGAAAAATAGGATATAAATTTTTACTTACGTGTTCAAACACACTACAATTTTGCTCACATCCAGATGAGCTACAAGTTAGGCTTAATACTTTCATGGCAAACTTTTGCAAGTTTGGTGTTTCACTACCAAATAGTAACCACCATTCAACTATAATAAAATAAATTTAAAGGTTAGTGACTATAAATAAGTCAAATAATTTAAGTAAGATCTAAATCAATCCACTTACCCGGTGACATTGTCTCTAGCTCTTTTAGCCGGACCACAACCAAATAGTCCATCCGCCATTTTGTACTTAGGAAGCTTAGCGATTAGTGCATCTTGTATTGTTGTATCACAGACCAACTTCTCAACACATGCATAATACTCGGTCCACAAAGTCTGTAATAAAGTTCCCTCTTCTTCAACTTTATAATATAATCCTGGGTTCAAAACATGGCCTGCAGCATGCAAAGGCCGATGGAGTTGTTCTGACCACCTTGCATCAATAATTTTAAACACTTTCTCATAATGCTTCTGAACTCCACGAAAACCATGTGCAATAGCTTCTTTGGCTCTATCCATTGCTTCATAAATATAACCCATTGGTGGTTTTTTCTCCCCATCCACCAAACGAAGCACTTTTGTCAAAGGGCTACAAACTGTAAGTGCCCGAACAACATCATTCCAAAAGTTGATAGAAATAATAAGATTGGCAACTTCATTCCCCGAAGTTTCCTCTGCAAATTTACTTAAATTCCATTCGGTTGAGAGGACTAAAGTTTTCAAGTTTTTTCTTTGAATGTACATAGCTCTCAAAGTTAAGAATGCCATTGCAAATCTTGTCTTGGCCGGTTTCACCAAATTTCTTTCTTTGGTGAATTTTCTCATCAAGTTTAACAACAATGGCCTTTGACTAATGTAAGAATGGATTCTGATGGCCTTCTTAAAAACTGTTATAGAAAGATTAAATTAAATTAATTAGTAGCTAATGAATTATTGAGTATTGACTATAAAGAAACTTAAGAAAGTTAAAGGATAGGTTGATTACCGGAAGCATATGGCTTAACCTTGAATATGTCACCAAATAACAAGTTGATGCAATGAGCGGCACATGGAGTCCAATAAATGTGTAGATACGCACCCATGATCATACTTCCCACTTTGACATTCTCACTAGCATTATCGGTGACAATTTGTACCACATTTTCCGGTCCAATTCTTTCGATAGTGCTTTCAAATAACTTGTACATTTTGGTGGAATGGTAGATTCATTGCTAGCATCAACCGAATCAAGAAATATACTACCGATTGGAGAATTCACCAAAATATTGATGATCATTTTGCCATTTCGTGCCGTCTATTTGTCCATCATAATGGAACAACCAAACTTTGTCCATTGCACTTTATGCTCCTCAACAATTTTTTCTACTTTATCCACCTCTTTTTTAAGGTGAGTGACTCTAACTTCATGGAATGTAGGAGGCTTCATTCCGGGGCCATGTTGTCCAACCGCCTCAATAAATTTATTGAATGATTTGTGATTGACGCAATTAAAAGGGAGCCCGGCATCATACATCCAAATTGCAAAAGCACTTACCGCACGCTCTCTTAGAATTTTCTTTGTTTCTTCGATTCCTCCTCCTTTTTTTAAGCCTTCTTTTTGTGTTGATTTTTGTGAAAAATAGAGGTTCAAAGGTCCTTTCGTCACACTCCGTGCGGTGGATGAACCTCCATTAGAAGATATCTTTTGAGATCTGGAGGGAGGCCTCATTTCCGCATAATCATCCATTTCATCAAGATCATCAATATCAACAAATTCTTCCGGTTGCCTCATTTGAAATTTGGGATTATTAGCTATTTTGTTTTGCATATAAGCCCTTATTTCTTCTCTAATTTCCGACGGACAAGCGACACATTGTTTAACATTTTTGAAACCACCCACTAAATGTTGTTTGTGTCGAGTTATTCCACCATTGAAAGTAGTCCCACAAAAGTTACAAGTGACCGAATCTTTCGTCGCTCCTTGAGTGCCATAATTCCATCCAATGTCCCTCTTTTTGCTAGCATCCGCCATTGATTATTAAATTCAATGAATTCGCTGTTTAGAAATATTGGAATAAATAATTAGGAAAAGAATTTTTTTAAAAAAATTAACACTTTACCGGCAGTAAGCACTGCCTGACTGTTGCTTACCAGAAAAAAAAAAATAAAAATGAAGAAGAAGAACAGTAGAAGAAGAGAGAAATCAGAAATGAGAAAACATTACCTGAAAACAGAGAGTGAGATTCGCGAGGGTCGTCGGCGAGGGAGAAGAGGCGCGACAGCGAGGGAGAGCGAGGGAGCAGAGACGCGACAACGAGGGACAGCGAGGGAGCAGCGATGAGATGGAGGAGAAGAGAAGAGTCAATCGATCGATCGATCGAGAGAGAGTCGCGATGTGGAGGATTTCAGAAATTTTCAAAAGTAAAAAAAAACCCTAATTTTGACTAATATTATTACGTCAAAATTTTTTCATCAAAAAGGCGGCGCCTTTCGCTCGCCATTTCATCGCCATAGTTCGCCAGGGGCTCGCCTTTTTCTCCTCGCCTCGCCCAGTGTTGTTAAAAGCGCGCTTCAAAGCGAGGCGACCCTTGTGCGCTTTTTTAACTTGAGGCGAGGCGATTTGAGAAAAGCACTCGCTTCAGAGGAAGAAGCGAGAAGCGACGCTGAGGAAAAAGCGCGTTTTTTATAAAATAAAAAGAAAGCGACAATTAGGGTTTTTTTAAAAAAAAATTAGGTTTTTTTTAAAAAAAAATCTGAAATATAACTTCTCTCTCCTCACAACTCTTTTTTCCCTTCTCTCCTCGCGACTCTTTTTCCCTTCTCTCATCGCGACTTTCTTTCCCTTCTCTCTCCTGAAGCTCTCGACTGAGGCCTGCAGGTAATTTGTTCATCTCTTTTTTCTTCTTCTCTTCTTTTCTTCATCTCTATTCTCTGCTGTCTGCGCTCTTTTCTTCTTAGTTCTTACTGACTGCTGCCTCTGTTTTTTTTTTCAATTCTTTTGTTGTTTTTTTTATTTTGTGATCAGTGTGTATGCTAGCAGCCTTTTTTTATTATTTTCTGAAACTTCCTTTTGTTTGTAGTATTTTGTGATTTAATTATGTTTTTGATTTTTTGCTTTATATGTTATGACTTGTGAGTATTTTTGCCTAAGTAATTTCTTTCAATCTAACTATATTACCTTTTTTTAGTTATTTAATATTTTTTTTATTTTTATACTAAATGTCGCTTTTTTTAAAAAAGCGCGCGCTTCGCTTCTCGCTTCTGTGAAGCAAGCCCTCGTCGCTTTTTTCCGCTTCTCGCTTCCCAAAACACTGGCCTCGCCTCGCCAGAGAATGGCGAGCCACCCTTGCCTCGCCTCGCCTCTCGCCTTTGGCGACGAGGCGAGCGCCTTTCGTAACACTGATGACACCATATCTATGAAGAGCATCTCCTTCAAGGAGGAAATCATATCATTATTGTCATGGTTAAAATTATTACGAGCAAGATATGTTTCTTGCTTTGCTTTTGTTGTACCATAGTTACACACAACAATATTATTTTGGTCATGACCACAACCTCTATAGGTAAGAGTTTTTCTTTCTTTTGTCCTTTTGGTAGTTCACAAATAAACATACCATCATATTTATGATGTATAAACATAGCGTTGACTATATTTGTCAAATAAAATTTATTTATTCCTCTTAAACCTCCGTAGAGATGAGTTGTGTCATATATCATTTTTTAAAACCTTCCAAGGAGGTGAGTTGTGGCATATATCTAACCCATAATGATTTTATCACATCTTGACCCGTTCTCTTAAAGAATAGTCGAGCATTCAAGATACTCGTCACAAGTCACATTCTCTTCAAGGAATGGACTAATCATTTATATGTACTTCATCAATTTGCATTATAAGTATATTGTCATGGTCTTTAAAATTCATCATATTTCCATGACCCACTCTCTTAAAGAATGGTCGAGCATTAGCGATACTCATCACAAGTCACATTCTCTTCAAGGAATGGACTGATCATTTATATGTACTTCATAAATTTGCATTATAAGTACATTGTCATGGTCTTTAAAATTCATCATATTTTTCATGACACACCTCAACATTCATTTGAAAGATCAAGTGTACTATCTCTTTATATTCTTGTCTTTCGATGGAGGATTTATAAACTTGTCAAATTATTGGGTTGACTACATTCACAAGTCCATTGACCTTTCATACCATTTTGATAATAAAAATTGCCTTTCACATTTTGAAGGACTATTTGGAGAACCCATAATGTTCTTTCTTTTATAATTACCACGATGATAACTATTATAATTTCGTCCCTTCACGCCCTTTTTCATATCGTCAATCATTTGTCATCTTTCATACTTATTCTTTACTGTTACCACATTCATACAATAGAATGGAGCAAATCAACATACGAATTTCAAAAATATCATATACTGCTACCATTCGCTTTAGGAAATGGAACAAATTTAATAAACGAATGTCATTTCATCAAAGATATAATATTTTTCCTTAGTTATCATTTTATCATCAATATGGTGCATTGGTTTAAACTCAATGTCTTACCCATATAAGGCGTGTTATGCCATAATTTTATGGGACTTGAACCCAATCATGGTTAATCAAAACTCGAATTGATGTCTTACCCATTTGGTGCGATAGAACATGAACTATCATCTTACCCTCAAACATTTTTTTATGGTGCATTCAGAATTTAACCTGATGTATTTTTTGGTGCGATGGGCCTTGAATCCCCCGTCTTACCCTCAACCAACGATATAATAAACCGAAATACAACATAACTCACCCTTTGAGTATCTCAAAATAATCAAGATAATATTCAAACTCATGCTATTAAAATTTTATACCTTCTTCCATTTAAGAAATTCTGTATAGCATTTCATATCAACAAAAAGTAGTATATGTTTTTGGTTCCTGATAATTGTTAGTGACGGAATACTACTGTATTCTAAATCATAAAAATATTTTAGGAAATATATACCTGATTTTATGCATATAATACCTTGATTCGCATAACGAGATCAACCAAAACATGAGTTAAAGAAAAACTAAAACTCACTCGCAATTGACTAGAGACTCGTGCCGATAATGGTGAATGATATCTCTATTTATAGGAAGAGAAATCAATCAAAAGGTCACCATGTTTGATGACACATTAGTAGATACATTGCTATTCCAAAAAAGTTCATATCACCTTGGAAATATATATCCATGAGAAGGATAAGTTTATGATAATCTTAATGGACAGTTTACTTAATTCAATAAATTTATAACACTATAATATTATTTTATTTAATATAGGGGTAAAATGTGGGTAGTATGAAAAAGGGAAGAAACAGAAGAGATGTAACTACAATAATTTATTATAGTGATTGTTAGCAGTATTAATCGTGGAAAGTTGACATAATGAACAATTCAGTTTTAGCGTTTACAAAGGAGGAACATATATATATTTTTTAATGGTATTATTGTAGTAACTCAATTTTATAGGGTTATTTTGGTATTTCAATTTTTATTTTTATTTTTTTGTTTTCACTAATATATGAATATGAATTACTACTAGTTGAAGAACGTCTAATAACTTTACAAAAATAACAAATATTTTTGAGTGAAAAGTAGAAAAAGGACATTGATATTCATACATCATTATATGTAGAAGAACTGATTTTCAAGTAGAATGAATGGAATTTAGTTCCTAAACTAATTCTTTTAATCGATTTTAAAGTCTTCTCTCTCTTGATTTGGTGTAGTTCTCACACACTTCCGATAATATAGTCATTTCTCCTATTAACTCTTTATCTAAAAGTTCGATGATAACTTTTTTTTCATTATTGAAATTATTATAAAACTTTTTATTTCCATCACCCTTATATGGTATCACCTACAAATAATTTTTCTATATAATTAAGATGACAAGTTACTTGGGCAGATTTTATTTTCACTGAGTAAACAAACCACATTAATCGGCATTAGTGCTTTTACCACCAGTCATTAGTAATGCCCAATTTGTCGATGTTGTAATTACATTGATTATGAGTTTTCTTATAAGTCAATTTTTTATTAAAAAAAACGTAAATCTCTCTTTTTTTTAAAAAATATTTTTAATTAATATATTTGGTTTTTTATTTTGGTTTATTTGAATTTAACTAAGATTTATAAAAGATATACATAATAGTTTTAACAGTTTTGTCTACTGTAAAATCATTTTATAAAAAGTTCAATAAATATTTCAAATGGTCTTCATAATATATAGATAGATAGATAATTATATTGAAAATAATTGTAAGTTTAGTCCTTTTTGTACTCTAATCAGTTTCCCCCCGTATTTTCTACTTATTTTAAAACTGAAATTATTTCGTTTTCTAAATGTGAAGTCTTCTTATATAAATTTCAAGACTATATTAGGAGTTCTTAACTATTACAAATAAGTAAAAATTTAATAGTAGTAAATTTTTATGAATTTTAAAATATTAAATATTAGAATAGAATAATAGTTAAATGACAATTATTTTTGGGAAAATAATGAAAAAAAGATTTTGCGTAAGAGCATAATGTTTTAATGAAGAATCAAATGTTCAAACAACATTTGTAAGTGTCTTCATGCTTTTAATATAGTATGTATAGATACTTCAACCTTAATGCTCCATTTTTCATAATCAACTAGAGGACTAGACAGTTAAAATATGCGATTCTCAGTTAATAGTTTTAGTGAATATATTTTAAGGGGAATTAATTACCCATAAAAATAAAATTGCGCATGTACCTGTGGAGAATAGTGAGATGTTGCGTGTGTTTTGAACAATCTCTTGAGGTGTAGAAATGAATGATGTTTTGCTTGATTATATATTTGTGAAAGGTTCTTGCCGGAAGCTATTTTTGTGTGGCTGGAGCTCTTATTGGGATATTAAAACCTGGAAGAATGAGCATGTTTGGGACGCTACTTATTGTTTGGGGGCTTATCAAGGAAGGGATACTTAACAAGCCGACAAAAGTGGATGTGTATGTGTATGTGTACCCAACAATGTTGCTAGCATTGGTATGTTCTTTCATGTCTGTGAAGTATAATATGAAAAAGGTGACAAGAGGTGCCCCTGCTAGACCTGTTGCAAAACCTCTGAAAAGTTCTTCAAAAGCTAAGCTGAAATGAGCATCATTTCTCATTCTCTCCGTACTGCTGAAATGTACTTGCTTGTCTCGACTGTATTGTGTTATGTAATTGTAATAGAGGAGAAGAGAAATCTATATTTCACTCTCAGGAATATGGCATGTGTTATCTGTTTTTGCTTAGCAAAATGATGAATTGTAATAATATCTTGTTTGAGTTATTATTATTCTTACAGAGAGACGTGTTGTTTTATGAGATGAATGATCTACTTACTGCTTTGGATTCTTATTCTTGTCGCATTTTTGGAACAAACTAACTACTACTTTTTTACTTTCAAGTTCCATCCCTGCTCAAACTAGAAAAAAATAATACTTATATGTACGAATTTTAGTCAGTTTTATCCTATAAATAAGGGTTTCCTGTCACGATCCAAAAATACTCGTGATGACGCTCATCTTATTTCACCGATATAAGTTAGTCTGAAACTCAACAATTATGATAAAGTACGGAAATAAGCAATAAATTAAAGTCTAATACTTTAATATAATGTGGAAATACATAATCAACTTAAATATATGCCAAACTTTTATGTGTTATGGCAAAAATGGAAGAAAATACTAGTTTTGAATGATATTCTTTCTAGAATAGAACAAGATCATAAATAAGAAAAAAGATGGTTCGTTGAGATGACAAGTAGCTACCTCACAAACCTCCACAACAAGAAGCCTCAAACAAGAAGAGAACTGAGAGTATCACAACGTTGTGTGCTAGTAGCCTACCAAAAAAGTAGAACCAATGGTGAATACCAAACCACGCAGTACTCAACAAGAAAACTCCTAAACACCGAGATAAGGATATAGAATACGAGTACTCCTTACACCCTAACCGAACCTTCACAAGTATAGCCTGTAGAAAAACCACTATAATCTAATATTTTACAATTTAAATAGAACATAACTTAACAACATCACTTTAACAATTACATAAACTCAAGAACAAACTTAGTATTCATCAATCACAAGTTCTACATAAAGACACTCACAAGATAAACAACACACAAGAACAAGTTCACTAATGGTGAAGATGTGCAAGACAATGAAATGTAATGTCAAGTATAGTAATTCATGTCTGATCTAATGATACATGCCACTATCATCCATTGGGGACATATCTGTCTATACACCCTTGATAATGAAATCCATCGCACATCCCTCGAATCATAATATCCGTCACGTCCCTTGAAATGGTACGTCATCTTTAATTTCTTCTTCTTCCTCAATTTACATAAAAATTCACAACCATGTCTCGAAATCATTGCAAATGACATGTTTACACAAATAATATGTTGAGGACCAATTCCACAACAACACATAATTCACAATAACACAATCGTGATACAACATCAACAAAAAATTAGTAAGTCTTTCAAACTATTCTCAACACATTACACATAAATAATTGATCAGATTATCTTTCATTATCCCTTTTCAACATTACAGTCATTCAATGTTGACAAGTCAATTCATAGCCATCCCATTACTGCCCAACACATACCACAAATAAATACATGAGTCTATACACTTAACAAGGGTTGAGAAATCCACTTTCCTCAAATAGTAGAACAATAACTCAGGGACTTGAGATTTTTCTTTTCGTTAGGATTCCAAATTAATGTAATCTATTCACATTAATAATCACAATAAGATTTTAAGAAACTAATAACACCCTATTCAAAATTTCCAAACCAACTTCACCTAGTGATCTTAAATGACCTAGGGTAACTATTGAGGGTGGTAAAACAATGATTTTATGAAAATTTCAAGAAATGACTTTCCGATTAATTACATTCTCCGCCACTAAAAACCATGTTCGCCCCCGAACATAAGGAAGAAGAAGAAAGAATAACTAACCTTACCAAAAATTTGTATTTTGACTTACTAGTCGATGTTCATCTCTCCAAGGGAGCTCCTCTTTAAGATCATTCCATTAAGAGAAATTCCTAATAACTGAACTTTCGAATCAAACTTTGCATACCTGCAAATCAGGAGTTATTACCAAAACACATACTAACACATATATCCATTAGGAACTAAAACCCTCTAAATCATGACACAACCACAGAGGCAAATTGTTATAAAATTTGAAATCAATACTGACAACAACCAAACGTGACTGTGAACCAACCACAACACACTCATTATTTCTAAACCCACATAGAGCTTATGAAGATTTCACCCTTACGATATAATCATTCCACGAGCTTAAGTTATAAAAAATCTCATCTTTATACATCAGGTAGTAATCAAAAGGGAATCAAACTCACCTAACTTACAAACAAATTGATCAATCAACCACCTAGCTAGCGATAAACCTAAGTAGGGGTGACAATTTCAACCCATAATAATAATGAGTCCATTTGCCCATATTTACTGGCTTGGGTCACTCACACTTTAATTGGTTAAATATGAACTTCAAACTATTTTAAGTGTATCTACAAATATGGTCAAAATGGGTTAAAAATAGGTATCAATTTGATGAATCTTAGATTACTTATTTTCACTTTCACTCAAAATTCTTAATTGTCCTAAAAAATACAAATTTAATATTAAGTTTTTAGAAATTCAATTAATTTTAAAACTTAATTTTTTTTTCTTTGGAAAAAAAAAGAGTAAGTTGGTGGAAGGCTGGGGGTGGGGATGTGCCTGGTGGAAGGGGTAATTATTTTTTATTTTTTTTGCAAAAACAATTTTTTTTGTTTTTGAAAAATAGAAACAAATTTAGGGTAGGTTGGTGGAAGGGGTGTGTGTGTGTGTGTGGGGTTCCCGGGGGGAGGGGTAGTTTTGTTTTTTTGAAAAAATAGATTTTTTTGGTTTTTTGAAAACAAAACAATTTTAGGGGTAGGTTTGTAAAAGGTTTGTGTGTGTATGGGGGGGGGGGGGGTACCGTACATTTATGTTTTTGAAAAATAAATTTATTTAAATGGGTTAAACCCATTTTCCCTAAACCATATTTGACCAAATTCATATTTGCCCATATTATATTTGGATGGATTGTAATCCAAACCACTTTGTCTCAAACCATATTCAACCCATGCACAATCCGATCCAATCGAACTATCTGCCACCCCTAAACCCAAGCATAGAGATGCTCTAAAAACTTAGTTGGAGCGCTTAGATCAATAGTTGTGATTACACGTTCCTTTGGAATGGTAGAACTAAATCCAATGTCCCCACATGAATATTAAGACTATCGTACGGATGTAAATATTCAAGGTAGTTCTTCTATAAGTTCTTATAAGCAAAGTTGTGCGTATATAATCACTAATATACATAACTATCCCAAAAAATATACTAAATCTGTCATAATTAAAATGACCATGTGTGCCAAAGGATACCACACTACTTATAGGACAATCAAAGGATCAATTCACTTGATCAACCACTAGGAATTCACCCATGGATGTGAAAACGTGTGTGGCATAAGCAATGAATAAAATTTCATCTAATGTCTAGAATGAATAAGGTGGTCACATAAGAATTGTCACATATGGGGAGCACCTCCCCAGAAGTAACTAGCGTCGCCGTCCTCGAAGAGGACTAAGATAAACTCTTAGCATTCGTCACTACATTTCATAGGTTAAATTGCGGAAAATTAAAAAAATTTAATTACTTCTATATTGAGGTTTACATAGACCTCTCGCATACACACAATATATACATAGGGAATTTACATAGACCCCTCGCATATGAATTCACTACATAGTATTCTACTTTTATTTCACATACATAAGATAACAATATAGATTCATAAGAAGTGTAAAATACATCTCATATTAAAACATCTAAAATGAGTACAACATTGGACATAGTCCATACTTCATTATAATAAACACCACATATGGACATATACAACATTAGTCTTCAAATGAACGAGAATGAAGAAAAGTATTTTTAATACTAAACAATATTCAATAGCAAGATAGTGACATCGTCCTCGAAAAGAGAGGACCTACCAAACTTAGAGAATGAGAATCCAAGTCTTCTTCAATGGTCTTCTAGAAACTCAATGACTGGAACCTAGATTTTTGTAGTAAACATAGAAACATGGGTTAGTACATCACTTGTACTAAGTATGGGAATATGCACATAAATACTTGAAATCATGCTAAAGGGAAGATTTGTTCAATACCATGCTAAGTTACTTTGAAAAGCCTTATGCACAACAAAGAACCAATAATCACATATTCCTTAAGATAAGATCATATAAAACCCAAGACCAACATTATCAAGTATAATCAAGTCAATCATAGCACAGTTGAGTACATAATAAATACAACTCCAACATCATGTTATAACAACATAGCATATATAAGAATTCGTAACATTACAACATATACAAGACCCTTACATATAACCCACTATCAACTCCACAAGTGCAATGACCAAGTAAATCCCCATAACCTTACTCAACCAAGTAAACCCAAAAAAGGATCACAAGTAATGTCTATCTTCACATAACATAGCATCAACAATAGTCATCATCACATTTAGCAATATAGACCAATAGCATATTGATAAATGAAACTAGCATTATAGAATCATCAACATGTAAAGTCAATATATACATAATCATTTACTTTATATAACAAAAGAACAACGTTCTAAGAATTTTCAAGGCCAACTAGTGCAATGTATAGGTAGAGTTCCATACCCCTACCTAGACTAACTCAAACCTCTTTGGTCACCCTAAATAGTGTTCACGTTACTACTTTATTTTACTTTCATTAACAATTGCCTTAACCGACATAGAGCATGTGAGCTAAACATGAAATCCGGTGTGATGAACCCTACATAGAAAGAAGGTTCTATACTTGCCAAGATAGAACTATAAAAATAACATAGCTTCCTAGGTGGATCCACTAGCTAGTCTATCTATGGGAGCAACATAGTTAAGGAACTAGGAGATATGCCTTGAACCCTCTGCATGCTCATTAGCATTGGAGCCCTCATCGCATGATAAACCATAGGATGAGTATCCCTTCGAGGGAAGTCAACACCTCATATGGAACTATAGGGTGAATCATCCTCTATGGGAAGCCAACACCTCTCGTTGTGAAGTTCACTTGGTGCTAAGTTAAAGACCCTTTTTGAAATGTCTTTAAGTATTTATTATTTATCATAGCTTAGTGCAGGTCATAGGAGACTAACCTCTTGTATATCATATCATTAGATCATTAGGAATTGCACGCGAATGTCCTTTCAATACAACCCTCATATGTGAGATCAACATATTAGCATCTTCAAGTCATATTAAGGCACATAGGCAATTCGTAACCAATCTTATCTCATTTCATTTTAAGCATAATCTCACAATCATATAATCAAGGCATTACAATTTCATCATCATACCAACACCTACCTAATTAAATCACAAGGCATGCTTTAATTGAACTTCATCACCAAGTAAAAGTCATCAGAATTGAAGTAAAAGTTTAACATCACAAGTCTTACCAATTCATCTTCATAAGCCATCATCATTTGTCTTAACCTACACCAATCCAATTTCATCCATCAATAGGTGTAACAACATCACACAATAGTACTTGACACAAGCACTAAGTCAATCGTATCATCACTATCCCAAATAACTTCAATTCATAACATACAGTTAGGGGGATTTAAGGTTCATCATGAATTCATCAAGATTTAGATCAAATCCCAACAATACATTACCCTAGGCAGTACATAAATGAATTAGAATAGATAGAACAAGTCTAATAATTAATACATCCTTCAATTCTCATCAATTCATAACCAAGATCATAGATTTAGGCAAATTGGGGAAAGGGACAGGATCCATACGAAATTTCTCTAATTAATATCAATTAGTCAACAATATATATTCAATTATCCATGGGTAAACGCAATTAATCATAATCAACCATCAATTTAAAGATTATAAGAAAACCCATTAAAAGAGGAAAATCCTTGGAATTGAGTTATTTAGAATTCAACTTTGAAAGGACCTCTTGGGGAAATGAATCCCAAGAATAAAGAGCCCATATCTTAATGAAGATTAATCCTCAAAATTCAAGAGAAATCCTAAATAAATTGGTCTTCTTCTTCAAGCTTACTTCTTCCTTCAATAGAGGTTGAATAGAGAGAGAAAGTAGAGAGAGGTGAGAAACTTTTGGGTTTTGATTTGGGAATTTGATTAAATCAATATATATACCTCCCATGAAATATCCAAAAGACACCTCACTTAAGTTGACCCTTTAATGAAGTCAAACTTGAATTTCAAATTTCATATTTTCGTCGGAGAATAAGTCCATGACGCGGAGCTGCTCCCGCAAGATTTTCTAAATTATTTTTTGAGATAGTAGAGTCCGTGACCTTCCCGCGATGCAGACTTGATTTTTTACCAAAGGCCTCTTCCATGTGTATTTTGGCTGCTGTTTTTGTAGCTTGCCAAGCCATGTTTGGGGTCCTCTCGTGGACCCATAGGGCAACCCTTGGGTGGTCGAACCTGGAAGTTTCCACTCTATATACATATTTTTACCCATATAAAGTCACTCTACAAGTTTTAGACCTCATACAACACCCCCAAACCTTCACAAACCTAAGCAGGTTTTACAAGTACAATTAGACTAGCTTCTGGACATCTTGGACGTTTCTTTGACGTCTTGACTCTAAAACTTCCTAAATGGTTTATAAACATTATTTTAGTCTTAGAAACATTGTTATAAACCTTAGTTCAACATGTGAGGTTCTAGATTAGGTCTTGTACTTTCAGAGTGTTATATTATCCTCCCCTTAAGAACATTTATCCCTGAATGACATTAAAAGTCTTTTGAAGGGAAAAGATAGACTCAATACTAGTAGCCCTACCAACAACACACATAATCAACATGAGATACAAATAAAAAACATCAAAAAGGCATTTTACACATAGACCGAAACCATAGTAGACCCTAATTTCCAGATTTTTGGCCAAGTCAACATTCTCCTATGTTTAGTCAACTTAGGAGGGGCATTTTGGTAATTGATTAATTAGTTTATTAAATTAACTTATTAAAACTAAGTTGTATAATTCAATATCAGTTCCCAAACCTAAAAATCACGGTCAAAACATTGAGACTCACGACTCTAAGCCAGTAGACGACAAACTGCAAGAAAACGTAAAACGGTAAAGATTTCTTAGGCGAATTCAAGGTTTTCTTCAAGGTTTATTGCAAGGTGATATATGTATATTAAATTATGCATAAGGTATGGGTGTCTATACTGGACTTCTTCCTCCAATAGAACTTTGTTTTCAATGATTCAAAGATCTTGAAAACTAGGGTTGTTCCCGTGTTCTCGTTGAACTCCGTTGTCCCTAGTATGCTTTTTGATTCCATGTTTAATAGGTTAGAGATAATGTTGTTGATATGTGCTGCAGGCTAATCTTATGTGTAATGTTCTTTAATTATGAATGTCGATTAACCTATGAAGTTGTGATCGTATAAAATTAAGTGCTTAAAACGTGATTCATGAATAGACGATGTGTTAGTTACACCCTTAATTGTTTAAGTGTTGATTTGTTTGTCCGAACGTTGTATTTATGTTATTATGACATTGTCAAGGTGTTAAATTCATCAAATATTAATATTATACTTTCCAATATGTCTTAAAAACGTTACCCTAAAGTCATGAACCAAGATTGGTTAATAGAATGATACTATGTTAAGATGTGTCCGAAAATGTTAAGTATGAAGATGATTACGGTTTGTTGTGCATACCTACTGTTAATGTGACTTGTTGATGATTTTGTGTTATTTAAATTAATAATGTATCCCAAATTGAGTATGATTGAATGAAACTTTGGCTCATGCTAATAAAGAAGGTTATGAAGTCTATAACCAATTGCTTATGTCAATATTTATCTTATGCCAATATTATATAGCCAAACGATTGAACTGATAACTCAAGTAATTCAATGAATGTAAACGGCCATAAATTTATGTTATAAATTAATGAAAAGATTGGCTAATGATTAAAATACATATCAAACCAAGCATGAAAGAATATAAAATTGGCCTATGCCAATAAAGATGGTTGTGTAATCTATACCAAATGTTTATGCCAATACTAATCATATGACAATCTTGTGTAGTTAGAGTATTAAATGATATTATAAGCAATTCTAAAGTAATACAATGAATCCATCACCAATGGCATGCCATTAATTGGAAAAACTCCCAACATGCTCTAAAAGAATGAAGTATGAACATATGTAACTCATTGAAAGAAATGCTCATCGTCCATAAATGATGAAATGAAGCTACTACACTAAAGTAAAGAAGTAACGTGAGTTATAACATAATTAAAGGGGTATAAATTAAATATATGACTAGAATAGGGCTTTAAAGAAAGTGAGACAAGTCTTCCTTACACCTGAGCTACAATGTTAAAAGAATAATCACGAATGAAAGTGTTAGAATGTGTGAGACTAGTCTCATTAACACCTAAGGATGATATGTAAGGACAATTCACATTTCATCAATATAAAGTAAGGATGACAAGTCATCAAAAGAGTAAGTAAATCTCAATCTAGAAGCAAACCTCCATAATGCTTGAGTCAACTCTAAAAGATAAAAAGCATGTGCTTGCACGTGTTATGAGCATGTGCTTGCACGTGTAAGTCTCATGAGATGAGGCTACCACAGAGGTGGATAAGTAGTCTCATTAAGTCCCTAGTCTTCGAACTATGTCTAGCCAACGTAAGAACTATCCAGTGTTTTCCATCAAAGCGAGCTAGATATGTTCAGTTTCACTTTTGTCGGTGATTATACCTCTTATTGTTGTGGGGAAGACGCCGGATTTCATGATTAGCTCACATGATCTAGGTCGGCTAATGCTCACGACATGTTCTTGGTTCAGAATAGCCGTGAGCCACTCCTTTCGGTGTGGAGTGAACACTTAAGATGGATTCGCCTTAGCCGGAAATCACTCCTTTTCAGTGTGGGGTAGACACTGGATTTCATGAGTATCTCACATGATCTAGATTCATTTTAACCGGTGAATCACCTCTTTTCGGAGTGGGGAAGACATTGGATTTCATGTTACGCTTGCATGATCTTATTCCGAATGATGTCATTATGAATGTGAGAACGAATGATGATGATGGAATGTATGTTCAAAGTGAGCAATTAAGAAAAGATTAAGAATGTTAATTACCAATATCACACTCATGAAGTTTTAGCAAATAATGGGCAAAGTCAATTAAGATTGGCCTAATAATGACTTCTTATATGATTCCAATAAATGGAAGTAGAAACATAATGTTAACTAAATACCTCATAACTTCCCTAAGATGAAAGTAATGAAATAGATGGCATACACAATAGAGAATGGCTTATGAAATGTTAATGAATACATAGTGTAAAGAATGACTCTCTATTGTAGGGAAATCAATCCTTAGTCCTTGGATTAGTTACATCGATTCATTCTAGGTATGGGACTACAACGAATCATTGCACTTGTAAGTAAAACATAGGACCAAAGGAATTATTGAACTACACAACAACAAGAAGAAAGAGAATGAAAATAAACTAAGTCCCCAAAGGGAAGCTCTCGGGTTTGAGCAATCAATTTTTCAAAATCTCGCCCGAGTGGTTCTAAAATTCTGTATGATACTAATTTCTTGTGATCATATTGAAAATGAGTTCTATGCTTTGGATGCATTAAAATTCATCATATTCATACCACAATTCACAACTAACGAATTAGGAAAGTTTAATGACTAGACTTTCCAGAAATGGCATGTTGCTTAGGAAAAGCTTTCGTTGATCATGCATAACTTTCTATACTTAGTAAAATGATGTACTAACCCTAATCACTTTACTCTTTTTATAGGTGCAAGTCAGAGGACAGAGTGATGACACTTGCAGAGGTTTGGACTTCAGCGTTTCTCCAGACCATTTGGTAGGTCCTCTTGATTTCAAGGATGCTACAACTTAGTTTAGAGTTAAATATAGACATAGCTAGTTGATTTTGTCCGTAGTGTTTCCTTCACAGTTTAATTTGAAGCTTTTGTAATATGGCTGTTTTTGGCAAACATATTTATGATATATTCATATCCTATTTTGAATAGATTCAATACTATCAGTCAAACCAACAACATACATATAATCATCATGATTCAAAGCTCATAGGAGTACTTCACAACTCCATTTAAAACATAGGGTGTGTTTGGTATGAACAAAATGTTTTCCATGAAAATGTTTCCCTAGAAAATTTTTTCCTGGAAAATAAGTAGATTTTGGACTTATTTTCTCATGTTTGGTTGGTGAGTAGAAAATATTTTTCGAAAATTATTTTTAGGGTTTGACTTATGAATGAAAAATATTTTTGAGAGACATCTTTTATTTTTGTTAGAGTAGAAAATAATTTATGAAATTAAAAATATCTTTTAAAACTAATTTTTATTTGGGGTTGTGGTGGGGGGTGGGGTGGGGGAGGGGGTAGGAGTGAAAAAATAAAAATTTGAACTTTTTAGTATTTA